TTGGAGTTATATTAAAAATGGTCCTGGCTATTCCAAGCGTTATCATTGCAGTCAGCGGGTGTTGCAGTTGAACAGTCCACAAGTCGTCAAATAAAGTGCGCATTCATAATAAACGTGCCTCACACCGCTCTGGGGGGTGAATAAAGGCCTCCTGTAGGGAATCCATGTGTTTTTGTAAGAAAAATATCCATATTTCAAATGTAATAAACACTTTTCTCTCACTTCCGGTATCCGTCATACGTGGAAGGCAATCCGGTGGATGACAGAGCACGTATGCAGAGCGCGTGCCTCTGAGATATCTAGTCTCACGAGTTTGTTTGTAGGAGCAGAGGAAGTAAAGTTTCTTTACTTTAGCAATGGAAAACCAGTCTCCTCTTGGTTTATATCGAAATCCTCTGACATTTTTTTTTACAAATCCTTGGTTTGTACTTCTAATTCATGACCGCCGTTTTGTTTTGTTCTCTCTCCGCGTTCGTCACTAATCACGCAACGCCACGTGTCTTGCGTCATCCGCCGGATCGCCTTCCGCGTATGACAGATAATAGAAGTGAAAGAAAAGTGTTTATTACGTTTGATTATTCACCACCCCCCCGGAGTGGTGTGAGGCACGTTTATTATGAATGCGCGCGCTTTATTTGACAACGTGTGGACTGTTCAACCGCAACACCCGCTGACTGCAATGATAACGCTTGGAATAGCCAGGACCATTTTTAATATAACAGCAACTGGATTCGTCTGAAAGAAGAAAGTCATATACACCTAGGATGCTTCGAGGGTGAGTAAAACAGTCTAATTTTCATTTTTGGGTGAACTAACCCTTTAGTTACTGCTCCTTGACAACAAATCATGTATATTTGTAATTAAACTGAGGTTGATGGTTACTGCAGGAATACTCAGATTTCCAGTACAGACGGAGACACAGGCAGAGGCGTAGAGGAGACCTTCTCAGACTGCACAGCCTTCGCAGTAACACCCCTGAACCACATGACTCCAATGACAACACTTTAGGTAAAGCTCCAGGCAGAGATAGTGACCCCACATAAAGTTAGGATAGACATAACTGAAAGAGCTGCTTTGTCGACGTTACAGAGTTTGAAATTTCTGTATGCGCAATTTGTGTCTACAGAAACACATGAGGGAGGCAATACATCAAGACATGGGATCGCCACGGTGAATATACTGTTTATATGTAAAGATTTTCTAACCTGATTAGGGCTGCAAAACGATTAATCGCATTCAAAATAAAAGTTTGTTTACATACTATATGTGTGCACATATATGTATATATTTTTTATTTTATATAATAAATATACACAGTACACACACATAGGATGTAAACATAAATGTTTATTTTGAATGTTATTAATCGTTTTGCAGCCCTAAACCTGATGCAGCGTTAATTTTTCAACAATTATTTGTTTTGGTCATATTTTTGTATTTTGAATAAAATAATTTAGTTACTATTTCATATATTTTCATTTTTGTCAAACTTACTATAAAATGGCATCTAAATTTAGTCAATGAAATTGCTAAATTAAACAAAATTTCATACATTTTCATAAATCAGAAAATATTTTATATGCTATTTAAACATGAAACGACATTTAAAAACATACACTGCCATTGAACATTTTGGGGTTGGTAGGATTTTTTGAATGTTTTTGGGAAAAAGTCTCACCAAGGCTGCATTTATTTGATCAAATGCATGGTAAAGCAGTATTATGAAATTTTACTACAATTTAAATAACTGTTTTCTATTTGAATATGTTTTAAAATGTATTTTATTCTTGTGATGGCAAAGATGAATTTTCAGCAGCCATTACTTTGGTCTTTAGTGTCACATGATCCTCCAGAAATCATTCTAGCATGCTGAAACATTTCTTATCATTGTTAAAAACTGTTGTGCTGCCTAATATTTTTGTGGAAACTGTGATGCATTTTCCCCCCCCAGAATTATTTGATAAATTGAAGGTTAAAAAGCAGCATTTATTTGATACATTATTAATGTCTTGATGATTTTTTTTTAATGCATCCTTGCTGAATAAAAGTAATAATTTATTTTTAAAAAAACTTATTGACCCCATACATTTGAATGGTATTGTAGCTTAAAAATGAGTCAAAGAGCATATATTGAGAATTTGAACCCTTTTTATCCCTCAGGAACTTGGGTCTCTGGATGAAGATGACCCCAATATTTTGTTGGCTATTCAGCTGTCCCTACAGGAGTCCGGGCTGGCCTTGGACCCCGAGTCTCAGGATGTGCTCAGTAACGATGCCTCTGTTGGTGCCAGTGGTTCCTCTCTGCCCTCTAGACTGGATTCTGCCCCCCATACTGGGGATCCCCCCCGAGCTTCCATGAGCAGCTCTGAGCTTCTGGAGCTGGGAGACAGCCTTATGAGACTGGGCAACATTACCAGTCACTATACACCCTTTAACATGAATTCCTACCCTGATGCCTTGGGTAACGCCTTCACCCCTAGTGACCCAGACTGCCTGGACCCTTCCACCAATGCCAACCTGCTTGGCAACATTATGGCCTGGTTCCACGATATGAATCCACAGAGCATTGCACTGATTCCCTCAGCCGCTGCAAATGCCAGTCCTGAGCTACCTGTTTTTGGAGAGGGACAATCTGCCCCTCCAAAAAGCGAGGAGAATGAGGTGGGGAGTCCTGAGCAGTGCTCCCTATCGCTAATGAAAGAGAGCGGAGATGTGTTGGCATCGCAGCTTTTGGAGCTAGAATGTGTGGATGATGCACAACCTTCTAAAGCAGAGCCAGACTTGGAGGGTTCGAGTGGCAGTGTAGATCTCACTAGCGCAGTTTGTCCGGAGAGCAGTACTGATCGGGATCCGCAGGTAACCGACCTCTCCTTCGAGTGGGAGGAAGAAGTGCACCTAGTGTGAGGAACAAGTCTAATTATGTTTACCAACTGAGTGCTCTTATCGTGCCAAAACACAAAATAAAAGCAGAATTGCTTGTTAAGAAATGGAGAAGCGTGAACCAGGTGCATTGGGGTTAGACGGGACTTGTCTTAGTTGTGTGTTGCACCGCGTTTGGTGGAAGAAACAAGAAATTGTGGTCAGATTCAAGCCAATGAAAGTAAATGAGAGAAGAGTGGGTCTCATTCACTAACCGTATTTGTGTGTATGTGAATGTTTTTGCACAGAAATCATAATTCACTAATATCTTAGCACTTCGAGTTTTTTCTACATTTAACATAAAATTTAGAACCAACTAAAACGTTATGTATGTATGTATGTAAAAATCAGTCCTGGTGGCCTTAGAAACATGAAATGGTTTAAGCCGAAAAGTTTATATGGACTAAATTAAATTTGAACAGCTGAGTGACCCAAAAATTATTTAGCATTTAAAAAAGACACATTTTAGATCTGCAATGGGTTCTGCATAAAAATGTGTTGTTATATAAAAGGTCTTTATTTTGTATTTAAAAGCCATTATATGGAGATGGTTAGGCCACTAATTATGCTGACTGCTAACTTTAGGGACGTTTATGTAGAATAATCTGGATTCTGGAAAGATGGTAAGAGCAAATTTACATGCCAACCTGTTGAGAGTAATCAGGTGGAAATTTTGTGTAAGAACCATTTCTGTGCACATAAGAATACAGTTATAAGTGAATGTTGCAAAGTATTAAACTCACATTGAAATGGAAGTAGCGACAGGTATTTTATTCCATATTGTGGTGTACATCTGAGTGAAATGGATATTTGGAAAAGAAAAAAAATGTTAGGTGGTGCCTTGGTTTTATCCACTGCTGTGTTGATTGCAGTCGATTGTAAGAAAGAGGCGGAGTTTATGCACTCTAAATGATTGGAGAAATGAACATACATCATCATAGGGAAGTCTGTCATTTTCAGGTTTTCGTTTTAAGCCGAGCAAGGCCACTTTGGCCATTTCTAGAAATCTTGCTGTGGGTGCCATGAGAGAAAGCTCCATCTGTATTAGATTGAAAGTAATTTTTTCTTTGAAGTTCAAATGAATGGAAATGAAATGGATGAATTTTTGACAGTTGTATCTTTCGGAAAAGAAAAAGGAATGTTTACGTGCAGAAGAAAATACATGAAAGCATCAATTCAATGTTTCTTGGCTCTTACAGTGACCATTAAGACCTGAACTTTTTGCCCTGTTTTGTTTTTAATTCTACAGTTCTCCTATTTAGCAATGCCAATTTATTGCTTTATTTAAAAACACTAATGTTCTTTTTATTTAATTTAAGTCACATTTAATGCAAGTGCAGATTGCACAATGCACATTTCATGTTAAAAATAAGGAGTGTTTTGAAATCTTCAAACTGTTTGTTCTTCAACATATTGTCCTGCAGAAGACCTTGTTCTCTTCCAAAAGGTTACACTTCATGTAAATTTACACTCCTGAAAATGTGAGGGCATTTATTACCTTATCTATTGTGACTACTACACACAATACCTCTGATTATCCTGTGTTGTGTATTTCATTTGGCCTAATGAATAACGCATATATATATGCATAAAGACACTTCACAGGTTTTCTGAAGCAATAGAGAGATAACAGTGCTTTTCCTTTTTCGTTTGTGTGCCGAACTATGTATATGTCATATTACATAGAAAGTCATTCTCTTTAACAACAAAAACAGTTATTTTGTCTCATTTTATATACGGCATATGAGGCCAAATTAATAATCTGTTTACCAATTATCAAACCTTTGCAGAAGGCCTATCACATCCCTCACTGACGAAACATACTGTGCAGTAACCAAGAGGCTTTTCAAGGAATTTTCTAGGTTAAATACAATTTAAGATTTATAGACAGCATCTGTGTTATGCTATCGGTTACCACATCATCGCTTAGTTTGTAAAACAAAAGCAATGTCTTTTAAAATGTAACTCCA